AAAATCCCTGGACTTAGAGATTGGGGAGATAGTCAAATAGGATAAATCATTTGCCTTGCATGCAACTGACCCAGATTTGATCCTTGAGACTACATAGAATCCCATAAGTACCCCCAAAAGTGATCCCTTAGAATAGAGTCCAAAGACAGTCCTGGACACCGCTGTGGGTTGCCCCAAAACAAAAGCCTGGATTTTAGCTAAGATTATCTTATGTATTTTTCAGATAATTAATAAAGATAAAACTTTGCAACATCAATTCCATCTGTGGTAAAAGTGATTTTAAAACTATCCTCTCCTACATAATTTTATTGAATAAAAAGTTATACAAAGTCCAACAGGTACATGACAAATTCTTAACATCATGAATGATTTGCTCGAGCGGGCCCAGTAACATCTCCATTGGAGACTTTGTTGTTACTGTGTCTGGCATATCGAATACTCTCGGTAGCTTGCCGGGCTCTCATGAATGATTAAGGAAATACAATCAAACCTACACTGTGCTTTCACCTGACACCTGTGAAAATAGCTACTATAAAAAAAAAAAAGAGATAAAATGGCCATGATACACAGACCCACAAAATAATCTCGAAATTGAGCAGCTCGCTTCAGAGATGCCTCCAGATTTTAAGCCAGGCCCATTTCACCAGGGTGCCTCAGATGGGAGCAGGCGTCATCCCTCCACCTGCCCCCTAAGAATCCTAGCAGCCTCCAACTTCCAGAACCCAATGAGAATCCCAGGTACATGTGATCATGATGGCAAATTCCAGGCCTCAATGGATAGGGGATGGGTCCGTCTTTCTCCTCTCCCCAACCCTATGGAACCTTAGAGGTCACACCCATGAACTGCCTTGGGCTGATATTTAAGCTCCTTAATGACCATGATCCAGAGAAACAAAACAGGATCAGAACCAAGAAGTTCACTGCAGAGATTTCTCCAGACCTGAATTATCTAAAATTTTAGACTCCCAGGAGAACACAGCCACATGACATCTTATGCTATTTATAACAAGGAATACAAAATAAATTATCTAGCGTCTGCCTTTTCAGCAGGTTTGAGTTGTGGCGGGAAAATTCGAAATAATGGTGGTGGGACTGGTGTCAAAATATTACATGTAATTCTTTATTGTGAACAAATTTATGAAAACAAATTTTAAAATAAAAATTAAAAAGAGATAATAGTTGCAGGCCAGAACAATAGTATAGAGTATAGGGCACTTTCTTTGCATGTTGACTGAACTCCGTTCAACCCCCAGGATTCCATATGATCCCCTGAACCCTGCCAGGAGTGATCCCTGACTAAAGAGCCAGGAGTAATCCAGCAGCATAACCAGGTGTTGTCCAAAACCCAGAGAGAGAGAGAGAGAGAGAGAGAGAGAGAGAGAGAGAGAGAACAGGTGCAGTGAGGGAGAGAAGGAAAAGAGGGAAGGAGGAAGGGAGGGAGGAAGGGAGGATTCACCATTCTCTACTGTCAAGTAAGAGATGAGAAGTTGGTTAGATAAGAAGAGGCTACATTGGTTTTAGAGGTAAGGTGAATGGGCAGATCGCACTGATGAAGGCCAGGAAGTAAGTGATAAACGTGGGATGGCATTGATAGTCTTGTCTATATACTCAGTTTCCTCTACTATTTCATAAGTGTCACAAGAATGGTTGCCTCGTTGATGTTGTAAATCTAGCACTGCATGCAAACTCCCTCAACTTGGTTTCATAAATAAACATATAAACAAACAAAATGATGGGATAAGTAACTGAGGTCAGACAGACCAGCCTCACAGAGGTGACAAGTCAGTACTGGGTTCACAAGAATAAGCTAATGTTGGTCTGGTTGGCAGTGCAAGGAAGCATATGAGAGTGCTCAGTATGTCAAAGGTAGCAGGAAATACCCATGACCGAACCATGTCACTGGAGAACTTGACCAGCTCAGGGAAATAGTCAGCCCAGTAAAGGAGTCAGATAGTAGAGAAGACAGAACAGTGAATAGACTCTGTCATACCTTGATGCAAAGACAGATATCTAAAAAGGAGTGAAGGAGACAAGAGTATGTATGTACATCAAATCCCAGATGCATCCTGATTTCTATAGAAGATAAAAAGCTGTTGGTCATGGCCTTTGAGAAAATTCCAGTTTCCTACTGAAGTCAAAAACCACCCTCCCAATATTCAAGACTTCCCTAGAGTCCTGCTGCATGGCTTCATGCTTTATTTGGGAGAGAAGCATTTCATCTAAAAGTCACTTTAGATGAAAGCGGGCTTGTGCATCCTTTGGGAAAAGCCCAGAGAGGATCTAAAGCAAATCCAAGGACAAAAGATCCCCCCAGAGCAAGTCAGCTAATGTGGTTTCACTTAAACCATTCTACACCACTCTCCACTCTTTGAGAACATGAATGTGCACCACATGGGGTATTTGTTAGAAAAAAAAGTACTTAATATTATATAAATATTATTAAAGTCATACTACTGATCAAACACACAAAGAGAAAATAAGAGTGGTTGAGAAGGAAAATGGAGCTACAAGAAGAGAGAGGGGAAAGATAGTGGAGAGAGAGAGAGAGAGAGAGAGAGAGAGAGAGAGAGAGAGAGAGAGAGAGAAGGGAAAGATTGACCCAGAAAGAGGAGGGATCAAAGAGACAAAGAGCAAACATCAAATATGGAGAGAGGATGTTCGTGATTCTGTTTGTCGAAGGGAAATAAGGTAGATGTTTTTGTTCTTTGTAGGTTAATATGTAAATGACTTTCTGATTTATTAGCGGTCTCCAGCAGATGAGGTGATGATTAGCACATTTCCATATTTATAGAAAAGCAACACTAACTTTCCAGATTTATAGAAAATCAGCTCTTCACAAATAGCAAATTGTGCTATTATCGACATATGGTTTTCTATAAACAGAGCTGAGGTAATTATCCCTGGGACAATTTGTTGGTGGGCTCCTTTTGAATATTAACCACATTGGAAGCCCGTTTCTGCCTCACAGATTTTAAAGAGGAGGGGCCATGAGACACCCCAGGCAATTAATTAGTAATCCAACACCAAAGAGGGGAGCCCAAATGAAAGACTTTACAGGACCACATGGTGGAACAACTATAGTCCAGTATTCTGATGCCAGTTCCCTGCAGCATGGACAAAGTAATTCACCTCCCTGAGAAGCTAGCGTCTGTATTTCTGGATCAAGACCTAAGATCACACCAAGCTCCAGGTGCTGCCGAGTTTGTTAAGTGAGAATATAAACAATAGCACCTAGAACCTAATGGGTCTCAATAAATATCAGCTTCTTTTCTTTCCTGATATATTTATGTCATTCACAAATGACTCCCTGGAGTAAAATTTCCAAAATCTCTTTATGGTACTCCATACTTTTCCTTTGTACCATGACTCCATACATATGTACGTCTTTGTGGAAAATGTTTCTGAAAGCAGTAACTTCACTGTCTATAATACCTTAGAGCTTACAATCCACTCTATTTTCTATTGTATGTTTTTTTTATTGTGATCCATATGCTGATTTGCAGGCTTACTATTGGGTTTTAATCTGCAGTTTGGTAAGAATTGGTTGCAAGAAGCTGGGGTCTATATTTAGATCTACTGACCATAGTGTACAAGCACTCAGTAGATCTATACATTAAAAAGTGTGAATACAAAGCTAGAATCCTGAAATTTAAACTAATGCTCCTTTTCAAATGACTGATCTTGCTCTGTATATTCACTGTATACTACATCCTGTGTTGTAATCAAGAGAACAGCATTTGATGGACCTGATATTTCTAGTTTCTGTCAAATATATTACTACGTAGATCAGAAAAGAATTGTAAAGATGTAGAAATTTTTGTTTGTTTGGGGGTTATACTTGAGGATGCTCAGGATGACTCCTAACTAGATGCTCAGGGGTCACTCCTGGTGGTGGGGCAACTTGTGGTGCCTGGGATTGAAGCCAGGGCTCCTGCATACAAATCATGCACTTCAACACTCTGACTCTTCTCCTCAGTACCTAGAAAATTATTTTTGATGACTAAAATGTAGATGATTTATATGAACATGGTGATATAAGGAAATTAACCGCCTTGTCTGGGAAATTTATTTGAGTTTAATAAAGAAAATTCCTTTATTTGAACTTAAGTTTTACAATGTGACTACATCTCTCATGCTTTTGCTCATTTCGTGGACTAGGTCAGTGGTTTCAAACTGCATTAAACTGCTTCCCACCCCACCCTATCCCGAGTTTCTGGTGTAGTGAGTTTGGAATGGCACCTGAGAACTTGCATTGATGAGAGATTCACAGATAAGGTAATGCTGCCCATTGGAATTTCACCTTAAGAATTATTGCTTTTGTAGTTTAGAGCAAGACCACAAAGGTTAGTGATGTCATGCTCAGCACTTTAGACTTTATTCTTAGTTCTTTGAAATGCTAGACAAGGGCGCACTATTGTCACATATATTACAGGGAGATCCTTCTGATGGCAGTTGTGAGCTTTTCTCTAGAGACCACTTAGGAGCTGATGCAGTTAGTGAAAGATGCGAGCCTATGTAGCCCTGTCAGGGTGGAGCTACAGGAGAGTGGAGGGCTGGGAACTGTTCAGGAGACAACTGAAGGACATTGACATTCTACAGAGGTTTAAGAGAGGGATAATCTGAGATGATTCCAAGCTTCAGACCAACTTCTTGACATTTCTTTTCATAGGAATATACATTTAAAGCACGTTTTTACGTTTCACATCATTAAAAATTTCCCAAATATTTATGGTTAAGAGGCACCTTTGATACTGTAGGATATTTGGGGGTGAGGAACGGGGATAGATGACATATCTGGGCTCAAGTTCTGTTTGTGGTACTTATTAACTAGTTATTTCACCCTTGGAACTTTTGTTCTCTGGAAATATACTACTAAAGTAAGCTTGTAAGGCTGGAATTAAGTAAAAATTGGATCATGCATTGCTCCTACTATTCAGATCACCAGGCCATGTCTTGGTGAATGAACTGATCACTGTGTAGAAAACTTAAGTTGTACTTACCAACTGATTCCATTTTCTCTTGGTCAATTACCAGGATATATTCATAAATGCCACCCATGGATCCAGATGTTATATAATGGGTGCCATAGTCATTGATGAACTTGGCATACATGCCATAATTATAATGGTCTGGAAGTTCCATTAATGACTGCAACATTCCTTCATCCAGCACAATATTGTTTCTTCTCATCTTAAAACTAGCAGTCTGCACCTTGGTAAAAATTCTCTCGAAGACATATTTCTGTCAACAACAACAACAACAGCTGACATTGAATGGAGGTGGGGGGAAAGGCTCACATTTTACCAGATAAGACTGTACAAGTGTTGACATTGGTAGCTGGGGAAGTGTATAGTTTTTTCTGTATAAATATTCAGGTAAGGTATATTATTAGATTCTGCAAATATATTTATATTTCTGTATATGTATATATATATCAGTGGATAGGAAGTTAGTGGCAATGTCTAATGAACAATGAAATATTGTACATAGTGTCATTCAGTGTTAGAAAGCAAGGCTAACTTTAGAATTCCTCTAGGCTAGTGTAAAAAGATCTGACTGTTTCTCTGTAAGATTACCATTCTAAATATTTCCCTGTAGGCTCCAGGTAACCACAAGAACGGATTGGGTGAATTGATAAGAGTTCTAGTCTTAACTTTAAATTTATTCCCTTTGTGATGATTCTGTGTGCCAAAGTGTAATAAGAAAAACAAACATGATTACCACTCATCAGACATTTCCAATTACACAAGCAAATTAAGGTTCAATTACTACTGTACTTTTTAATGCAATTAAGGTAATACGTGTTCAGAGTTGATTATGGAATACTGTGTGACACAGGCATTATGTTTTAATACCTTATTTTTGAACTTGCTTAACTTATCCAAGAGTACAGAATCTCGTGACCCAGATACTCCCACTTGTCCTATTAAGGGGCTTCGTGCAGGGCCAATCCCAAAGGTCACTCCACCTGACACAGATTTGGAATTCCTCATGTTTGAAAGAAGGTCATTGGCATTATAATACACCTCTGAGGATATAGTAGTATCTGCCATTGCCTGCAAAAGAAACAAACTGGTATGAGCTGTGTGCACACAGCACTTTTTTTTTGCTTTTTGGGTCACACCCAACAATACACAGGGGTTACTCCTAGCTCTGCACTCAGAAATTACTCCTGGTGGTGTTCAGGGTACCATATGGGATGCTGGGAATCGAACATGGGTCAGCCGCGTGCAAGAAAAATGCCCTACCCGCTGTGCAATACATCGCTCCAGCCCCACACAGCATTTTTTTCCATTTCATTTTTAGTGTCTTTGGTTTATAACATCTAGTTTGGGTTATTACAAACAATTCTTTGGAAAGGAGAATCTAAGCATCAGACTGATATCTAGTAAAACACAGGAGAAACAGGGTGTTTATTTACTCAGTAGTATTACTATTAAAATATTTATTTTAGTCAATCTGCAGAAGACACACACACATGCAAATGATTCAGATAAAGTGCTATATTGATCTGAATCTGCCTTTCTTCCCAACTGGCTTCTCCATCATGAAGAAAAAGTTTGGCTCTGCAATGGAAAGATCCAGAAAGCCATGTCATCTGCTTCATGGGTGTGCACTTTTTGAAGGAAAGGAGTTAAGGAAACTGCAAATATTCTCAGTGGAAATCTTTCATGTTGCCCTATAATATCTAGTTCTTTTATTCCAGGCACACAATAATGATACATTTCTTTCCCAACTGGAAACAAGCATGGTCTTGGCTTTGCTTAAGCCAAGCAAGCAAGGAAGGAAGGAAGGAAGGAATGAACCTTAAGGAAGGAAGGGTCAGAACACAGGAGGGATTTGCTCTGCTGTCAAGAGAATATGTTGTGTATATGGTACCTCCATTTGTTGGGGACCCGGAGCATCTGTTATAACCAGAGACTCATTTCCATCTTGGAATGGACAAGTCACATATTTGGGGAAGTTTGGCTTTAAAACACTAAGATTGCTGAATCCTCTGTTGCTACAGCATGGCCTTATCTACCTTGACTAACACATTGATCCTAGACCAAAGATTCCCAGGGAACCTACCAATCCCTTCACAGGAAAAAAAACCCTCAATATTCCTATGCAAATGTACCTTCTTCAAGTGAACAAACAGTACTCCTCAACTGTATCTGAGGTATCATCCCTCTAGATCATTTCAGTATCCCAATTGTATCTGACATATTGCCCGCCCACCCCCCCAGATCATACTGATACCCACCCCCAACCAAAAATAATACCTCCACTTTGGAAGGCACATCCTTGAGTTTGGGAACTGGTATTGTGTATGTCTTCTAGATTATTTTTCTACAGGTCTAATAGTAGTGGATGTCAAAGTGGTTAGGGATGCCAGCTTCTTGAATGAAGGCCTTATTACCCTGACCTTATCCTTTGTTCATATTTTTCTCTTGAGGCACGTGGGGACAGGATTATTGTTCAGAATCCTGGGATTCTACCATCTCTCTCTACAGATTCTATACTGTTGTAATGTGCTTGAGTACAGAGGTATGATGTGTTGAAATGCTCCTGTACCTTCTAAATGGTATATTTCTGGACTTACTGCAGAGAGATGTGAGCAAGAAACTTGTCTCTGTGTTCACCTGCAGGGCAGCTTTAAGCCTGAAACTTGATGTAATTTTCTATATTTAAATATCAGTCACCATCCTCCCATTGTTCATTGATTTGCTTGAGCGGGCACAGTAACGTCTCTATTGTAACAATTGTTACTGCGTTTGGCATATTATCACAGGTAGCTTGCCAGGCTTTGCCATGTGGGCGAGATACTCTCGGTAGCTTGCCGGCCCCTCCGAGAGGGGTGGAGGAATCAAATTCAGGTCAGCTATGTTGGCCGCTTGTAAGGCAAACTCCCTACTGCTGTGGTATCACTCCAGCCCCATATTAAAATATATTTTATATTAATGTTTTCATTTATATAGCACTGTTGCACTGTCCTCCCATTGAGAGAGAGAGAGTGATCACTTGATCACTTGACATCCCGTTACTCATCAATTTGCTTGAGTGGGTGTCAGTAATGTCACCATTCATCTCTATCATGTGCTAGTGTAGCCCAATGGCATCTGCTCACTCCAGGAACATGAAGAGCCTCAAACTGATCATTCAGGGTCTTGACATAGAAGTCTGACCATCTCGTAGGTGAGCAACCACATAATCTTCTGATGTCCCGTGGAATCTAATCAGTAATGGCTCTAGTTCAGTGATCATCTCCAAATCTCATTACATGTCAAGCCCATCTGATTTTCGATGCCTTGGCAAACGAGACAGTGTCCCTGATTCTTGATCGTTGATGGAGGTTGGAACTCCAGATTCTTTCTCTCATTTGAGTGAAGCATGATACTCCAAGCATACCTCTTTCAATTCCTCTTTGGGAGACCCGAATAACATTCTCATCCTGTTTTCGCAGGGCCCAGGTCTCTGAGGCATATGTTAATGCAGGAAGAACAGTGGAATCAAAGAGATGTGCCCAGAGCCGGAGGTTCTTTGTCCTCTTAGCTATTTCTACAATGCTCTTGAAGGTGTTCCAATCCACTCTCTTCCTTCTGTGCAACTCAGGTGCCAGGTCATTCATCAGGTTGACTTCTCGACCTAGATATCATAACTGTTGCATTCAGAGATGTTCATTCCATTGAGAGCAAATGGAACGTCAGGAAAGAGTTCGTTTCTCATAAACATTGTCTTCATGAGATTTAGCTATAGTCTGACCTTTCCACATTCACGGTGGAAGTCAGCCAGCATTTGTGCCGCTTGGCTTATTTTAGTGTTATTAGAATGATGTCATCACTGAAGTGGAAGTGGTGTAGTTGCTGACCATCTACCTTCACTCCCATTCCTTCCCCTTCCAGTCATCGCATGACATTCTTGAGGGTGGCAATGAAGAGTTTCAGTGAAATGGTATCACCCTGCTGAACCCCTCTCTTGACATTGATGATCACTTCCTTGTAGAATGATGAGATCCTGGTAGTAAATCTGCAATACAGCTTATGGAGGATTCTGATGTATTGAGTTTGAACGCCCTGTTTGGCTAGGGCTTCAATGACCGCTTCCATCTCAACAGAATCAAAGGCCTTCTTTAAATCAATGAACATTAGACAGAGTAGCATCTTTAACTTCTGAGAAACCTCAATGAGCTTGGTTACTGTGTGGATATGGTCAATTGTGCTGAATCCTATTCGGAACCCAGCTTGCTTACATGGTTGTCCTTCATCTAGTGTTTTGCCAATCCTATTCAGGATGACTCGAGTGAATATCTTGTAGATGACAGACAAAAGGCAGATTGGAAGATAACTATAGCCAATGTTGTGGATGTCTCCCTTCTTGTATAGTAGTACAGTCCTGATGGTTTTCCATTGGGATGAAACCTTGCATTCAGACAGGTAGCGTGTGAAGAGCCAAGTCAGTGTATTAATGAGTACTGATGGCAGATTCTTCAGGTGATCGGGTCTGCCCTTGTCTGGGCCGGGTGCTGTTTGTTTCTTTACCAATGAAATGGTATGTTGGATTTAAGAAGGGAGAACATTAGGAATGACATATCCATCCTGCAGAATTTGGTTTGTGGGCAGGTGGACATGGCTATTGAAGAGATTCGAGTAGAAGTCATGGATAATCTTCTCCATTGCCCTTCTGGAAGATCAGGACATCTGAGGGCAGTCATCTTGGGCTTGTAGTTGGCGAAGAACAGGTGGGCATTGTGAATGCTTTTTCTGGCTTCTGCCGCATCTGCCAGCACTGCTGCTCTTCTCTCTTTGAGGTCTGCCTTGATTGGTTCTCTGCACTGCTTTGCGAGCTTGGACATTCACTTGCAGTTGCCTGAGGCTTGCGCCAAGCTATGTTTGTGAATGAGCTTGAGAGTTTTCGAAGATAGGCATATTTTTGTGGCTATCTCTCTCTCTCAGCATTCCTCGTACAATCATGGACATGCTGAACCAGTCAATCTTATTCTTTGTCAATGTTGTCAATGACAGCATCTTCCCATGTTGCCGCAATAGTGCCAAAGAGCTCCCAGTTGGTGGTCATTCTTGGAGTACTCTTCTTAAACTTTGCAGCCCTTTTCTGTGGAGGCCTTTTCAATGAAGATAGAATCTCTGTGAAGTAGAATTTTGCATGAAGAAGATGGTGGTCTGATCCCATTTGGAATTTTGGGACAACAGCTACATCAGTCAGGCAAAACCATCGATTTAATATGATGTGGTCAATTTCATTGTGGAACCATCCACCGGGAGACTCCCATGTCCAAAGTTTAGATTCAGCCTTCTGGAACTGTGAGTTACCATGAATGTTCTTGGTCGACATGATGAACTCAGATAGTCTCTCACCCTTTTCTTTCCATTCTAGGCCATGGGTCCCGATATGGAGTTCTTTGGCTGATCTTCTTGGTCCTATCTTGGCATTAAAATCACCGACAATGAACTTGTAGAATGTGTAGTCTTCTTTATAGAATTTCTCCAGCTCCATGTAGAACTTCTCAACTTCTTCTTCATCATAATTGGATGTTGGTGCGTAAACAATGAAGATAGAATCTGCTGGCAGTGAGGCACATCTATTCAAGTGTAATCTTCTGATTCGGGTTGTTAGACATTCGAATAAATCAATGCTCATGGCCAACTTTGTGTTGACAAGGACACTGATACCACCAACACCTCTTCTGTCATATGTTTCAAAGGGACAATTCTTCTCCAGTGTTGAAAATGGCATGATGTGGTTGATGCCTTCTCATCGCGGTCAGACCAATGATGTCGTACTTGATCTTTCACGCATGCACCATCAGGTCCTCAATGGATGCATTCGATTCCAGCATATGTGCATTGAAAGTACATATAGTCATTTTTATTTATTTATTTGATAATTTTATTTATTTATTTTAATTTTTATTAGTGAGACACCATGAGGTACAGTTGTAGACTTACAAATTTTGTGCTTGGGTTTCAATTATACAATGATCAAATACCCATCCCTCCACCAGTGCCCATTTCCCACCACCACAGATCCCAGTATCCCTCCCACACCCCATCCTCCCCATCCCACCGTGCCTCTGTGGCAGGGCATTCCCCTCTGTTCTCTCTCTCCTTTTGGGTGTTGTGGTTTGCAAAAGAGGCATTGAGTAGCAATCATGTTCAGTCTAGAGTCTACTTTCAGCATGCTTCTCCCATCCTGGGAGGATCCTCCCAACACCCTTTATTTGGTTCTCCCTTCTCTATCTGAGCTCCCTTTTCCCCTAACATGTGTGGCTGGCCTTCACGCCATGGAGCAAAATTCCTGGTACTAATCTCGGCCATTCTTGGGTGTTAGTCTCCTATTTTGTTACTTTATTTTCCCCAAATGAATGCAATCTTTCTATGTCTATCCCTCTCTTTCTGACTCATTTCGCATGTAGTACCACTTGTATGTAAATTTCATGACTTCATCTTTTCTAACAGCTACATAGTACTCCATTGTGTAAATGTACCAAAGTTTCTTTAACCAGTCATCTGTTCTCGGGCACTCGAGTTTTTTCCAGATTCTGGCTATTGTAGAGTGCTGCAATGAACAAACAGGTGCAGATGTCACTTCGACTATACTTTTTTGCTTCTCTGGGATATATTCCCAGGAGTGGTATTGCTGGGTCAAATGGGAGCTCAATTTCTAATTTTTTGAGAATTGTGCATACTGTTTTCCAAAAGGGCTGAACCAGTCGGCATTCCCACCAGCAGTGAAGGAGGGTCACTTTCTCGCCACATTCACGCCAGTACCGGTTGCTTTTGTTCTTGTGGATGTGGGCCAGTCTCTGTGGTGTGAAATGATATCTCATTGTGGTTTTGATCTACATCTCCCTGATGATTAATGATGTGGAGAATTTTCTCTACAGAAATGCCTAAATCCATTCGGATTTCTTCTTTGAGAAAGTTTCTGTTCATTTCATTGCCCCGTTTTTTGATGGGGTTGGTTGGATGTTTTCTTCTCGTGGAGTTCAACCAGTACTTTGTATATCCTTGATAACAACCCCTTGTCGGATGTGTATTCAGTGAATATGCTTTTCCATTCTGTATACCAGACAGTCATTTTGTCCTTTTTTTTTGGCAGCCTAGTTCGGCCTTGAGATTCTATAAGCCTCTCCTTCCTCATCCTTCTTAATGCTGCCATATTGGTGGCTCTTTCAGAGTCAGGAGAGTGAGACCCATTGTATTTACTGGTTTTGACATATCGAATATGCCACAGATTTGACATATCAAATTGCCAGGCTCTGCTGTGTGGGTGGGATACTTTCAGTAGCTTGCCAGGCTCTCTGAGAGGGATAGAGGCTTTTAAAGCGGCCTCTAATTGCCTTTGCAGGTGTTCCCATGGTTCAAACCATGTTTGAACCCTATCAAATATGCTGCGGTAATCCTTGAAGATGGATATTAAGTGTCTTATGATGCGGCCGTGCCATCCAAAAAGCGGCCTGGAGAATGGCAGTGGCTGGGTAGTGGAGGTAGTAGAGGTTTATTCAGTAAAGCGAATATATATAATGAAATATTTAAAATACCAATTTAGGCACTAACGAGATATTACTGAGGCCAAGGTACTTGTCTTACATGCAGCTAACCTCAATTTGATATTAGGCAACACATGGTTTTCTGAGCACCATTAAAAGAGCACAGAGGCAGGAGTAAGACCTGAGCACTATTGGATATAGGATATAGTTCTCAAAATGCCGATTTAATAATAATAATAATATCTCTATGTTTTTTATGTTGATCACTTGATCACTTGACATCCTGTTACTCATCGATTTGCTTGAGCGGGCACCAGTAACATCTCCATTCATCCCTGTCACGTGCTAGTGTAGTCCAATGGCATCTGCTCGTTCTACAAACATGAAGAGCCTCAAACTGATCGTTCAGGGTCTTGATGAAGAAGTCTGACCATTTCGTAGATGGGCAGCCACACGATCTTTTGGCATCCTGTGGAATCCAGTAGGTAATGGCTCTAGTCCAGCAGTCATCTCCAAATCTCATTACATGTCCAGCCCATCTGATTTTCGATGCCTTGGCAAACAAGACAGAGTCCCTGATTCTTGATTGTTGATGGAGGTCAGAACTCCGGATTCTTTCACTTGAGTGAAGCATGATACTCCAAGCATAGCTCTTTCAATTCCTCTTTGGGAGACCCAAATAGCATTCTCATCCTCTTTTCGTAGAGCCCAGGTCTCTGAGGCATATGTTAATGCAGGAAGAACAGTGGAATTCATGAGATGAGCTCAGAGCCAGAGGTTCTTCGTCCTCTTAGCTATTTCTTCAATGCTCTTGAAGGCATCCCAAGCTGCTCTCTTTCTTCTGCGCAGCTCAGGTGCCAGGTCTTTGTTATGTTGACTTCTCAAGCTACGTACACATGACTGTTGCATTTGGAGATGTTCATTTCATTGCGAGTGAATGGAACATCAGGAACGAGACCATTTCTCATAAATAAACATTGCCTTCGTGAGGGACTAGAGTGATAGCACAGCGGGTAGGGCGTTTGCCTTGCAAGCAGCCAACATGGCCGACCGGAGTTTGATTGCACTGCCCCTCTTGGAGAGCCCGGCAAGCTACTGAGAGTATCTCGCCCACACGGCAAAGCCTGGCAAGCTACCTGTGATGTATTTGTTATGCCAAACACAGTAACAATTGTCACAATGGAGACATTACTGGGCCTGCTTGAGCAAATCAATGAACAACGGGAGGACAGTGACAGTGACAGTGTCTTTGTGAGATTCAGCTGTAGTCTGACCTTTCCACACTCACAGTTGAAGTCGGCCAGCATTTGTGCCACCTGGCTAATGTTTGGTGTTTTTTATGTTATGAGGATTAAATGAGGGAGGGGGTCGTGTGTGAGTAAAAATACTGGACACAAGAAACATTCTCTAAAGCTGTCAGTATAGACATTTCACCCAGAGGGTAAAGGCTGAAGAAATCAATGGCTTAAAGCTGATCATGAATTATGTGGTGCTTAAGTAGCCAGAAAACTACAGCATTTGAGAAATGAGAGAATCTTTGGGATTTCAATCTCAGATAACTCCCCCCCCACACACACACACACACAGTTCCACACTGGAAACTAAGAGACACAGGTGATGAGTGCAGGGCTAGTGAAACAGAGCCTCAAAATTTCAGTCAGCCACTTCTTGAGGGCAAGAGTCACTACACTGTGGAAGATCCTATCTACTTACATTCTCCCAGAGCCTGTCCTGGAAACATGTCCTATGACTCCAAACCCAGAGATTCAAGCCCACATATGTTGCGATATTTTTGCAATGGACCCAAGATTTTTTAAGTGGGAATAACTCCCGCCCGCAGTCAGGCATCTCTCCCTTAGTGACTGGGAGCATCCTCCCACAGGCCTACCTCAAAGTGATACTTGAGGAAGTTGTAGGGTTTCCGGAAGTACTTCTCATCCTCCCCATAGTAGAGGCGCTCACAGGTAGGGTCGTAGCGCAGCTCCCTCCACTCGCCGTTGTACACCGTCTCACACTGGCCCCCATAGTACCTGGCATCGTACACACTCTGTACTCCTTCCTGGGTCAGGATATTGTACCTAAATGGAAAAGGCAGGCAGCTTCTGGAGTGAGCATTGGACTGGAAAAATGGTATTTAAAAATCCATGGTTTCTCAAACTGCGTTCTGTGAAACTCTAGGGTGATCCGAAGTACTTCACTAAGTACCTCATTTTATGGAACAGTGAGAGGCAAAGGAGTTGAACCAAGCCAGGGCTGCCTTTAACCAGAGTAGCCAGATAGTTTCTTTCAACATCTAGATCAGAGTTGCCACATAAGAGGTACCTCTAATTCTTTAAGCCCATGTTCTCCAATGAACATGTATCTTGCTTGATTGTCTCAATATCATTTTGTTGCCTATTTCCACTCTGAAGAAGCCTATGTTCTCTCCCAAACATGTATCTCTCTCTCTTTCTCTCTCTCTCCTCACACCTTTCTAAATAAGTTTCAATAAAAACTTTCTTGCTTCACACACACACACACACACACACACACACACACACACACACACAAAGTTACCTCTAAGTATGTGTGGAATAAGTCGTAGAAGAATATGTATCCTTATCTAGAGTCTAGAGTCTGATTCCATTTCCAGTCTCATCTCCTCAAGCTGTGTGACCTGTGTTAAACCATGTAACCTCTTTGAGCCTCCCCTCAGTCATCTGTGAATATTATCCCCCTGATCCTAACCAAGCTAAATATGAATCTGAAACTTGGGGAGGAATCCTACATACTAAGTGCTAAATAAATGCTGCCATTATTTTCATTTGCATTGCTTCAGAAAAGAACTCTGCTGCTAAAATAAAAACCAAAAGCTTTGAACTAGAGTAACCTGTGGTGCTGTGTTGAGAGTCTATTCTCTCATACAGCAACAGAATATCAGAGACCGCAAATGCCTCAGATCAGGGAGATTGCTGTTCAGTTTCCACCTCAGGTATTTACCAACAGGTTGATTTTGAACCATCATAGAAGTATACAGAAGTTCATTTTTCTCATTTGATGAGTAGACTTCCAGGCTTTGTGAAGTTCAAATGTTGGAATTATAGCAAAACAGAAGTAAAGTTGATCATACTTACTAGATATTGAATACATGATTGATTCTTCCTGTCCCCTAACCTAAGAACCTTCTAGAAATATGTTTTCCTACATAGCTATAGATGTAGCTCAATGGTAGAGCAATTGCTTTTGTGTGTGTGTGCGTGTGTGTGTGTGTGTGAGAGAGAGAGAGAGAGAGAGAAAGCGAGAGAGAAATATTTTCCCAAACTTTTCTCAAATTTTCTAACTTTCTGCCCACAGCCATGTTTTAGGTCACCCATGCTTTTTGCCTTATTTAGGTAAAGAAAAAAATGTTAAGTGGATAACATGCAGTTTAATTTCCTAAAAGCAGAAAACTGAACAAAAACCTTTAGGATTAGTTAATAGTCCAAGGAGCTTGCAATTGAAGAGTCATATGTTACAAGCAATAAAATACGTTTATATGCCTCTCAAATTCCAATTTGGTCCTTGAGATCCAAATCAAACATTGCCTCCTTCATACAACTGTTGATATCTGGAGAATCCTTCCTCCCTCTGTATCTCTTTAGATATTTGAATTTTGTCGATTGCATGGTGTTGGTCATGTTTATTTATGACCTCTGCAAAAAGGCACAAAAGCAGACGATGAGCAGGGGAAAACCTGAATCCAACCTACTTCAGAGGGATAAATGGATAATTACAGAGCACCTGGCAAATAGCAGAAATTCAATATGAGTTAACTTCCTTCTTCTCTTCCTTTCTCCATCTCTTTCTTCTCATTAGTGGAAGTGATGTAATAATAGCTTTGATGAATTGAACACACACTCTACAAGACATTTAGCATACATTAGCTTTCAACCTCATGACAATTCTGCAAATGCAGAAATTGAAGCTCAGAAAAATTAAGTAGCTTGCTTATAGTCTCAGCTGGATTTATTTCCTAGAGTTTTTGACAATAAAATCAAAATTTCTTTCCTTTACCGTGTAGTTTCTGTCTTCCCTCCCATTGAACATGCTTCTGTCTGTTTCTTTTTAAATATAGGCTCTTTGATGGGTCAAACTTTCAAAGAAATAATAAGCTCTCAGCTTGCACTGATAACCTTTAAGCATAGAAGGATACTAATATACATTTGGAATAGCCTATAATAGCACCCTAGTAAATGTGAAAAGACCTGGAAAAAGTCCTCTTTCTAGAAATTTTTACAGAAATATTCAGATGATGTGCTCAAAAATATGTACCCAATGATGTTAATTTTAGTATTATTTATAAGAGGGAAGAATTGGGAAACACTCTAATCATCTTTCAAAAATAGTCAAGGGACTGGAGCTATAGGTCAGAGGGAAGGGCTACTTGCCTTTCTCACAACTGACCTTGATTTGATCCCCAGCATCTGATACACTCCCCCAAGCAATGCCAGAAGTGATCCCTGAGCACAGAGCCAGAAGTAACCCCAAGAATAAATAGTTTAAGTTTGGCAGGTCATAGATCTCTGTTGAAACTACTCAAGTCTACCATTGTAGGGTGAAAGCTGATTCAAACAAAGCTTTATTTACAGCAGACAGCAGACTGATTCAGCCTTTAGGCCATCGTTTGTTGGCCTCTGAGCATACTGTGCTTCTGGGGACAGGCAGTAGAAAATGTGAGATGAAATCTTCACAATATACTCTTAGTAAAGGTAAAGGTAAAGGCCCTCCCGTTGATCGTCGATTTGCTCGAGCGGGCCCAGTAACGTCTCCATTAGAGACTTTGTTGTTACTGTGTTTGGCATATCGAATACTCTCGGTAGCTTGCCGGGCTCTCTCTCTCTCTTAGTGAAATATATATATATATATATATATATATGTACATATATATACACACATACACAAAGTAGTATGATTACAAAGATCTGAAATATATTTATGTCTATAGTACATAATACATAGAGGAATATTTTACTAAAAATGTACTTCTTTGGTGTATATGTATACAATCTGAAAGAACCTATAGCAAACCATTATTAAGAATAAGTTTTAAGGAGCAACATGAACAAGGGTGATCGATGGGGTATAGGAGAGGGGAGGGGAAAGGGTTTCCATCTTTACCTCAAGCATGTATTACTTCTGTATCAATAAGTAAAGTGTTAAACTGGGAAATGGTTAAATTAAAAAGCAACAGGAAAAAGATCATCCCAGGAACAGCCTAGGAGCATGGACTGCTCTATCTGAATGTAACACTCTGGACGATTCCAAGAGCAGACATGTACCTCTCCCACCTCTGGTGAGTTCAAGGTCAAAGTGCCACGATTCGTTACTGGAGAGACATCTTGTCTTGGATTGCAAACAATGCCTTGTTAGCCAGAGCTCTGGCCTCTTCTCTCTGGAAATAATGAGCCTGTACACTTTGGTATCCTTCCTCTTCTCCAAGGGACACCAGTCCTCTCAGATTAGGGTCCCATCCTCATGACCATATGCACCTGTTTCTCAAAGGCCTCATCTCCACATATGATAATGGAAGCAGTTAGAGTTTCTAATTAGGAATTTTAGTGGGGTGTAGTTTAGTTCATACAACTGGGTTAGGATTATGAGGAAGACCACTTAGGAGGAAGCAGTTTCCTCTCCTCAAAAGAAAAGAGTACAATATCTTGTAGCAACTGAACATGCACAGTGAAAGCAAGTGAGGATTAAGGCTGATGGAACCTCAGAAAAACAAACTGGTGATGGAGAGTAAAAGAAGGTCAAATGGCTACTTCAGCCCCTCTCTGCCTCCTCGCCATATGGCGTGTTTTCTTTTAATTGTCTCATATTTTAACCGTGGCAATTCCAGCAACTGGGGTGCAAAGCAGAAAGTAAATGGAACTACTGGAATGTGTGTGGATTCAAGAAGAGTTCTCTTCTGGGGAATTTGTGGGAGGCTACATAGAAGAGGTGGTCTCTATAAAATCCTCCGAAAATGGTATTGCGATAACAGCTGAGCAGAGGAATGGGTAGGGCTAAGAGGGAAGGGGTCCCGCAGTCAGCTCTCAGAAGAGTCACATCATCTGGGCATGAGCAACACCACCAGCTGACTGAATGTTTGTATCCCTCTCCAAACTCATATGTTGAGACTCAGTGCCCAGAATGATTATCTTAAAACAGGTCATGAGGACAGAGTTTTCAGGAATGAATTAGCATTCATAAGTGAATACCCCAGTTCTTTTCCCCCTTTTGAGTATTAAAAATAAGGTCTGCACAACACCCAAAAGGAGAGAGAGAACACAGGGGATTGCCCTGCCACAGAGGCAGGGGGGGATGGGGGGATGGGGGTGGGAGGGATATTATCCATGGTGGTGGAAAATGGGCACTGGTGGAGGGATGGGTATCTGATCATTGTATAATCAAACCCAAGCACAAAAAATTGTAAATCTACAACTGTACCTCATGGTGTTTCACTAATTAAAAAAATTAATAAAAAAACTTAAATATTTAAAAAAATAAAATAAAAATAAAAATAAGGTCTGTACCCTGACATAGATGTCACCCCTGAATTATTAGAGAGAAATCCCTGTTTTTCCAACCTCCCAGGGTGGGGTATTTCACTAGAGAGGCTGAAGAGATTGAGACCTCCACCTTGGAGTCAGGGAGTGCTGTCTCTTCCACAGATGCCCACAGAGGCAGAGAACTCCTTCAAAGAGACCCGTCTGTGCTCTGATTTGACGTCCCTCTGGAAGAGGACTTTCTCCCAGGCCCCGGGCTGACAGAAACAGGACTCACCCCCTGGCCGCCTTCTCTGACCCTGGAATGGGCTCGTACTGGGTACAGTCATCCTCTGGTACCCTGACATCATCGCAGTCACTCTCATCAGAGCCATCAAGGCAATCCATGTCCCCGTTACATACCAGGTGTTGTTTCAGGCATCGACCTGCAATATGAGAGACTGTAGATGCTTCTAGAACCTTCTAGACTCTTCTCTCTCCTTCCTGTCCCCGTCCATAGTCCCCAGGACTGTTCAGCATCTGAAACGGCCTTCAGACTCTCCTTCCTGCTCTACCCTTTCTCCGTCCTCAATGTTTGTTTGTTTCATTCCTGTGTTTACTCCCCTTGAGCTCCCTGCTCTAGCTGTCCGCCCCAACACCCCACTCCCATCGCATCCCCAGTTATCCTCACTAATCCACATTCACATGGAAGCTTTCTGGAATGAATGTCTGGTCATGACATCCCCCTACTCTTATTTCCCGGAGACTAGCCCTTGTCTCTTCTAAACATTGTCATCGTCCCTGCTCTACTTCCTACCTCTACCACCTCCATCTCCCTCACTGACTGCAACTCCCCTGGCCCTGTGTCTTGGCATAGCTTCTTCTAAGCTTTTATTTTCTTAGTCTCCACCCCAGTAATATTTGAAGGTTACTCAGATTCCCCAGGGCAGATAAGGTGACCCCCTGACAGAAGGTCTCTTGGAAGATAAGGGTCTTGAAGGCAGGGCTATGGTGAGCAAAGGTGCACCAGCTAATCTCAGGAGACAATCATTGATTCCTTGCAAGTCTTGCTCTCAAGAAGACTATGAGGGTCTTGAGATGAGGCCAATTGTGTTTGCTTCTCCAGGTTACCAGCAGTGAGCACACTCCCTGCATAGAATCAGTGCCCAGATACTAGTTATTTAATATGAGGAAGAATGAATGAACTGTAGCTTCTCTAAATGAATCAACAGATGTTCCTACAAACTTGCATCAAAACCACTTAAGCTGCTGGCTTGGCTCAAAAATTTATATTTCTGGGCCCCACCTGAAGTGACAGGAGATGGGCTCATGGGGGTGTATTTTAACAAGTTCTCTGAGGAGTGTTGTACATCTTAATGCATCAGCCCAGCTGTTCATTCCCGGAAAGCCACTCACCTGTTTCCTTGCACTGGAAATCCTGGCCACACTGAGCTGAATTCAGACAAGGCGTGGAACTGTGACAGCTGGCTTGATCCCAGACACTGCCGCTGCAGATGGTGCCCCCAAACTTGTTTGGCTGCAGGAGGCTTCGGTACCGGTACTACATGGGGGTTTTGAGCCAGATATGTTCATTGTCTATCAATCAGCCAAGATTTGAACAGGCATATCTCTACTCAACATAAGGAAGAAGAGTCTGTGATTGAGAGCTGCCTAAGAAGCTGTCTTTTTAAGGACATGAGTGTTCCCAATGAGAGGTGGCACCGTCACCAGCTGCAACATTAAGTAGTACCTTCCAACAGCAAAGGAAGCACTTAGATAAGATACACCTAGACATCTAGAGTCTCTCTGCTTGCCGGGCGGGGTAATCATTGCACCTCCTTCAACCACTTCCTGCCTAGTCACCCTTCAAGACTCAGGGCTTAGCACCCTTGGAAGCTGTCCCTAGCTATGGATGCTGCAGGGTCTTGCACTTTTCAGTAAGATGGTGGTCCACTCTGTGTATTTGTCTACCTTTCTCTCTATTGTAGGAACAATTTGCAAAGGGGCTGGGATGGCAGAGGATGGACCTGAATGATTTATCTTCATACACATGGCATTGATCTGTGGTCAAGTACACAAATAGCACTTTCAGACCTATGATTTTTCCTTCCCAGAATTTCTTGTGTTCATGGTATTCTTTGGTGCCTGCTGGAGCAAATCAATGAGCAACGGGATGAGAAGTAATACAAGTGATGATATTCTTCCTGTTTCATCTGGGGTTCAGTTGGGAAGAATCTCACCATATTCCTTATGGGGAGGTGGGAGATAAACCAGGTAAGTTTAACTCTAGCCTACTACCTGCTACATTGGAATTACCCGTTGAGAATTATTGGTTCCTGTCTCTCCCTAAGCTGTCAGACCTCCCTGAAGAGTTGCCTTCAGATCTATTGGAAAGGACCTATTCTCTGGGTAAGGTTTCTGAGACCCGCTGGCTTTCTATAAAGAGGGAGCCCATCCAAAAGGTAGAGAAGACATGTTCTGAAAACTGTCTGAGTCCCTGAGTGCAGTTTTGATGGACAAATAGTTATAAGAGAAAGGATGACAAAGTACCCCAGTGTTGGATCCTTCTTTCTGCAAGGAGTGAAGTGCCAGGTAATAGATGGGAAGGAGAAAGCAGAACACCAGAATAGTAAGAGCAATATGAGATTTTACCCTTCCTTAAAAAAAAAAACTCTAGAGTCTACAAAACTGTTTAACAGGGTTGAGGAACTAATTCAGTGGTTAGAGTCCATAATCCTGACCTGGGGTCAGTTCCCAGCTCTGTTTGGTCTATCAGGTGTCAGCCCAGAAGCTTCTGAGCATCAGTGAAGCAGCTCTGGTGGTCCCTGGCACTATAGACCCTGAGTAGTACCACATCCTGAAGCCTTCATATTGAACTGTGGACCTGAACGGTCAACTCTCACTGTGTAGGGTGTGGAACTCAGGAGTTCTGAGCACTTCTAGGGATGTCATATATATATATATATATATATATATATATATATAGAGAGAGAGAGAGAGAGAGAGAGAGAGAGAGTGATAGCACAGCGGTAGGGCGTTTGCCTTGCATGCAGCCAACATGGCCGACCCGAGTTGGATTCCTCCGCCCCTCTTGGAGAGCCCGGCAAGCTACCGAGAGTATCTCGCCCACACGGCAGAGCCTGGCAAGCCACCCGTGATGTATTCGATATGCCAAACACAGTAACAACAAAATCTCCAATGGAGATGTTACTGGGCCCGCTCAAGCAAATCGATGAACAATGGGAGAGCCTTTACTTTACATATATATATATATATATCCTGTCCTGTCCTGTCCTGTCCTGTTCTCCTGTTGTTCATCGATTTGCTCGAGCAGCCCAGTAACGTCTCCATTGTGAGACTTCTTGTTACTGTGTTTGGCATATTGAATACTCTCGGTAGCTTGCCAGGCTCTCCGAATATATATTATTAAAATGCAAAACACGCAGAATGCCCAGTACAAAAGTGGGAAGCACCCTATTTCTGCTGCCTATTTCCCTGGATCTGCCCTTAATAGCCATATTTCAAGAATTTTAGAAGAGACCTGACTCGCACACAATTAACCCAGGTTTGATCCCTTTGTACTCCATATGGTCCCTCAGCCCTGCCAAGAGTGATTCCTGAGCATAGAGCCAGGAGTAAATTCTGAACTGGGAATGACCCCAAAACAATAACAACAACAACAACAACAAAAATCAAGCAGCTAGGGTTCTTGAAACTGGGATTTCAACTAGATATAAAATTAAAATCTTAGAAGTCTTCCAATATAATCTGTTATGAGTGGGAGTTATTTTTCCTAACTTTACTATGTAGTATTTTTTTTTATTTTGTAAAATGAATGCAACCTTGGACCTCATGCATGTAAGGCAAGTGGTCTATCACTAAACAACATTTCTGGGCCCAAAAACTATATTTATAATGGTCTCTCATTGCTTAATAAGTAATAAATTGTAAATTTGAGAGATTTTTTAAATGTGTATAAGTTGCTAGATAACAAAGAGGCATATCTTTACTTGAAGGCAAGAAAAAAAAAATCAAGTGGCCAGGGAAGTGAATTTCTTGCCTGAACCTTTCTCTTACTTGCTGTAAAAAGTGTCAGTGCTGTTATTTGATGCTGCACTTCCAAATCTGTGCAATGAGGCGGGTGACCTGAAGCCTCCCTCAAAGCACTTAATGATGACTCTTTCTCTGTGTTCTGCAGCTGGAGGAGCATGAGACACCAATCTGGGTTCTGACACAAATTCACCATGAGCAAGTCTCTGTTTTATGATATGTAAAGTGCTCCTGGAGACCACCTGTCCTGAACAGGGTTAGTGAGAATTCAGGGAGAGAATATGAGGATGCTTCTGATCCCATGCCTGATCACTGCGCCTGTCACTGGTGCTCTGTGCCCAGCCATCTCTCCCTGACACACATGAGTGTGTCTTCCACATGATTCCACGGGTAATCAGTGGACAGGGCAGCTGGCCCCTCTCTCCTCTTGCCCACTTCTGCTTATATGATTGCTCTTTGGCCAAAAAGACATAGCAGCCAAAAATGTAGATTCAACCTGTCCCTTCCCTCTCCTTGACTTTACATGAGTAATAGCAGCAAAAGATTTGCAAACCCTGTGATTTCCAAGACATTAGAATTGTTATGAATAAATATGAATATCAGCATTTTTTCATTTTCTACTCATCTTCTGTTCCACAGTGTAATAAATAAGGGAGTGCTCAGTTTAACAATCAGAAAACAATTCTCTTTCTCACTCTCTAAAAGTTTATATGGTCATTTTGGTGATGGATCTGGTGTGGTGATATTTTACTTTTGGCATATATAAACATTTACTCTCTGGTAAACTTATGTTATATGGGGGGCTTGGAAGATAGTTCAAAGGGCTGGAGTGTATGTCTTGCATGCATGGAGACTTCAAGTTCAATCCCAAGTACCACTAGGCCCTAGCATCTCCATGTCCCTTGGCTCAAACATTGACCTGTCTATTCTGGTTGACTCAGTATCACTGAGAGTAGTCCCAGGGTCCCGTGAGCATTGCTAGAGAGGAGAAATTTTTAAAAAATGGGGGGGGGGGGGGGAGTCGGGCCACACCCACCTGTGTGACTACAGTCAAAAGACTTGCTTTTGACTGTTCTCAGGAATCACTCCTTGTAGGGATTGGGGAACCATATGGTGTGCTGGGGATTATAAATACGGCCTTGCCCATTATACTATCTCTTCGGTTCCAAGATCAAATAAATGATAAAGTAAATTTCACCAGAACCTTAAAAGCTGCAGTTGCCAACATGAAGATAATTATGATAGTAGCTACCACTTACTGAGCAGTTACCATTGATCACTTTACTTTTTTTAATTGAAGAAAATCATAGTTATATATATATTTTTTTCAGGTGTCAGTCATTGAAAATGAGTAAGTACACATGCTCCCTTCATTTCACTGAAAGTCCAATTCTCTTGTCCTGATTCATTTGTCTATTTCAGTTCAAGTAATTCTCACAAGTTTTAGAGGCTATGTACTCTATGGAGATAATTTTCAAGCTGGAGTAGAATTCCAGTTCTGCTACTTCCTCTATCTGTGTCACTGGGTGAATTACTCACTGTTTCTGGTCCTTGATTTTTCTCATCTATAAAATAAAAGGTCTCTGAAAGATGAGTGATCAGATACTTCAAGGAATCAGGAATTTTGCCTGGTACCTGGCATGATCTCCATCATGATAATTTTCAGCTTCCTTAACATCCTGTAGCCAGCTGTTGTACTTCTCCAGCCAGAAGTACTTCAGAGGGAATTGGATTAGGTGACCACTAATGGCACTTAATGTTTTTTGTAGAGTTCAAGGGGAGGTGGCTGAGTAAACTAACTGGGTACAAGGGCATTTTGGAGTCAGACTAAGGTTTCACTCTGGCTCTGCCACTTTCTTAATGGGCACTCCCAGCTAAAAGGAGGGCACTATCTCTCCTGAAGCTGGCTGTGAAAGTCAACTCTGATGATTTACTTATAGCATTGCTCAGCGCCTGGTATATAAAGAGTAGTTTATGAACAGTAACTATTAATGCTATTATCATCCTTTCTGTGGTGCCCCTACCTGGCTTGATGGCACAGACATGAGGTCCATTCCCACTGGCTCTCTAGTTTCTCAGTTGTTATCAAATAATGAAGACATTGCACTGCAGAAAGGTTGGTGCAGTCTCTCCCTTAGGGACTTCTCCGTGCTGTTGCCTGTGCTTGGAATCATCAAGACATAATTTTCTTCTCTAGCTAGCAGATAATGTTTCTATCTAGAAACTCACATCTTTATTTGGGTGATTTGAGAGGATGAAACATATCAATAATAAGAAATGAGGTGAATAGGAAGGAGTTTCTTTCACATAATTAGCAAGATTTAATTATTTAAAGGGTTGTGCTAAAGACACATACATCTTTCTGAGTAGCTAAGGAAGTATTTCAACTGTTGGTTTCACCAGTCAATCATTCACTTGTGCAGTCTGCTATCTCAACTGTACCCAGGAGAAAAGTTGTAGATTCTGATGACAAGTAGGTTGAATAACAGCCAGGCAAAGAAGTCAAGTCCTAATCCTTGAATGGTGCAAGTGTGATCTTATTTGGGAAAAAGGATTTTTTTAGAGATATTAATAAGGTTTTTGAAATCAGGAAATTGTTCTGAATAATCCCTATGGTCCCTCGGTACCATTTTAGGATCCTTAGGAGAAAAGAAGAATTTGTTACACAGATATGCAAAGGAGACATGCGGGAAGAAGGGAAAAGTGTGACCACAGATGCTGAGCAATGAAGCACCAAGACAAGAATTGTCAGGATGTGACCCCAGGGGTACCACACCTGGGCCCTGAGCACAACAAAGCCCTTAAACACAGTCAGGTATAATTAAATCATATTTAAATTCAATAAGAAAATAAAGTAAAAGTAAAGTAAAGGCCCTCCCGTTGATATCGATTTGCTCGAGCGGGCCCAGTAATGTCTCCATTGGAGACTTTGTTGTTACTGTGTCTGGCATGTCGAATACATCACTGGGAGCTTGCCAGGCTCTGCTGTGCGGGCGAGATACTCTCGGTAGCTTGCCGGGCTCTCCGAGAGGGGCAGAGGAATCGAACTCGGGTTGGCCATTGTTGGCTGCATGCAAGGCAAACGCCCTACCGCTGTGCTATTTAGATAAAAGAATTGCCAGCTGACACCGGGTCTGGAAGAGACAAAGTACAGACAGTCACACAGAGACACACAGAGGAGAATGGCCCTGCTGGCCATTTCATTTCAGACAGCTGAGCTCCAGAACTTTGCAAGAAAGCATTTCCATTGTCTGAAAGGCACCTAGTTCATGCCGTTTAGTTATAGCAGTCTCAGAGAACTAATATCCAATAGCACAGAAAAATGAGAACATGAGGGCCATATTCTTTTCAATAGGAACAAGTCTAGCTGTCTTGGGCGTTTTGCAGAGACATAAAAGGCAGAGCAAGACATTGTTGTGCTTTGATGTTGAATAACACTTTACTGTCAATGGCACATCCATCTATGGTGGTTTTAAATGAGCCATTAACCTACACTGAGTAGGTAGTCTAACTCAGGAGAACTCTGGAAGGAGATATGGCTATGAAGAATATGAAGAATCCAGGGAGAGAGGAGCAGGTATGATGCTTTGTTCTAGGGCTAAAGAAGAAAGGCAGTGGTAGATTTTTATGTTTACTGATCACTTACTATGTGTCCGATGCCAAATGAGTACTTCATATGCCTTACCTATGTAATGCTTGTAAAAGTGCTGATATCCCCCACGATATTGGTGAAAGAAAGCAGGCACTCTGGTGGTGAGTGCTGCACGGAACTATCAGTGACAGTATTACACATCAGAGAGCATTAATAAAAATGGAAAGAGGGAAGAAAATGCCTTTATAATAAAAAATAATCATAGGGCTGGAAAAAGTACAGCAGGTAAGGCACTAACCTTGCATGTAGCCAGCCTAGGTTAGATTCCCTGGCACCACCTAAGGTCCCTTGATCATCACCAAAAGTGATTCCTAATCACAAAGCCAGAAGTAAACCCTAAACATGGTTGATGATGAAGATGAAGATGTAAATGCAGTTACTCCTCCCACTTGTATATAAGGAGTCAGAGTTACAGAGATGTAGAGGCCAGAGCAATAATACAGCAAGCAGCTGACCCAAGTTCAATCCCCAAGACCCCAGATGATCCCCAGAGCTTACCAGGAGTGATCCCTGAGCTCAGAACCAGGAGTAATCCCTGATCATTGCTGGGAAGGCACGACAACAACAACAATAACAACAACAACAACAAAGCTTCCAAAATAACACAAGATAGAATGCTAGAATATAAACTGAAAAATCAGAATTTAAACTCAACAGCAGGCTGGAGCGATAGCACAGCAGTAGGGCGTTTGCCTTGCACGCAGCCAGCCCAGCCGAGCCCAGTTCAATTCCTCCCCCCCCCCCGTCTCGGAGAGTCCGACAAGCTACTGAGAGTATCTCGCCCGCACGGCAAAGCCTGGCAAGCTACCTGTGACGTATTCAATATGCCAAACACTGTAACAAGAAGTCTCAAAAAGGAGACGTTACTGGGTCCGCTCGAGCAAAATCGATGAACAACGGGAGGACAGTGACAGTGAAACTCAACAGCAATGTGAGTAAATAAGATTCACGCAGGGCATACCAAATGAGGGAGTTGGAGTGTAGCTTTATCCCACTCCTGGTTACTTCCATTAAATGTGTATGTTCACTGTAACACTGTAGCACTGTCCTCCCATTGTTCATCGATTTGTTCAAGCAGGCACCAGTAAAACATCTCCATTGTGAGACTTGTTGTTACTGTTTTTGGCATATCAAATATGCCACAGGGAGCTTGCCAGGCTCTGCTGTGTGAGCAGGATGCTCTCGGTAGCTTGCCAGGCTCTCTGAGAGGGACGGAAGAATCAAACCCGGGTCAGCCACATGCAAGGCAAACGCCCTACCTGCTGTGCTATTGCTCCAGTGATACCTATTCACTGTAGAGATTCTAAAACAATGATTCAGCAGAATAGAAATCAGTCTGCTTGTAGTCAGCCCCAGAGTTGATGATTCTGACCAGCAGAAATGATAAGGTTCTTCCCAGTGAGAGGGAGTTGAGACATAATCCTGGTAACCCTTCTGCTGGTAAGCCACTGAGTTTGTTGACCATTTTGCACCAAAACCACTTGTATGGCAAGACAGACACCATCTATTCCTGAGTGAGTCAGCCTGTGCAGACAAGTCCCTACAGATTTGCCTCTGTAACATGTTCTGGGTCATCTCAGCTACCCGGAGGTCACAGCCAGCCTGGCATTTGGTTCCTAAGCCATTAGTCCCTCCAGATGGTCCTCATTAGGGAACATTTGATTGGCTAGGACCCAAAGAGCCAATCGGGGCTTTGTGGCCCATGTCCAGATGGTTTTTGGTCTGCAGATGAGCTGTAACATACAACCTCACCCAGTGATGCCTCACAAATAAAATCAGAAGAGACAGAAACAGTTCCCTCAACCCTGGGGGCATGGTTTTCAAGTTCTTCATCCTCCCCACTGCAATGTAAAAACATACCCACCTGCCTACTTGTGTCTGTATGAATGCCTTGCACATGCTTGTAATAGGAAATGCTCCCCAATGCAAATGGCTTACCTTTAGGTCCTGGCATGGAAAACAATCTGTCCACTCTGCCCAGCTGCCCAGTTGACACGTGACTGGTGTGGGGGTAAAGCTCTGAGTATCTCGACTCACTCTCCTAAAAGGAAGAACAACCCTAGTCACTATGGTGAACTATTTTATGATTCTCATTTCTCATGTTTTTGATGATAGGTTCAAAATGATCTTTCAATGTGAAGGTGTCTTAATAGTAGGAGAACAGAAGGTGAAATTTTCCCATAATTTATTTACACATGATTGACAAAAATTAGATCCATTTTAGATAGAACACAATGGTTTGTTGTACATGTATATATTGTGAAATAATTACCACTATTAAGATAATTAACATATCTGTCACCTCACAAAGTAAACTTTGTCTTTTCTGAGGTGGTGAGAGCACTGAGTATTCAGTCTATACTGCACTGCACTGTCCTCCTGTTACTGGAGACGTTTCTGGGCCCATTTGAGCAAATCAATGAACAACAGGAGGACAGTGCAGTACAGTGCAGTGCAGTATAGACTGGATACTTTGGCATATGAAATATGTCATGGGTAGCTTGCCAGGCTTTGTCGTGTGGGCGAGATACTCTCCGTAGCTTGCCGGGCTCTCTGAGAAGGGCGGAGGAATCGAACCTGGGTCAGCCATGTCGTCCACGTGCAAGGCAAGCGCCCTACCAGCTGTGCTATCGCTCCACCCTATAAACTAATTTTAAGTATACTATACAATGTCCTTAACTAAAGTCACCTACTCCAGAGGTGACAGACAGAATGTGAACTCATCAGATTGATGTAAAGTCCATGTCCGGTTCTTCATCATTGTCTACTTCCTCATTCTATAGATCAGCCCACAGAACCAAGGGTTATAGCCTGGACAGGGATGGGTGATCTAAATGGAAAGTAGTGACTGGTGAGTCTGCATGCAGCCTTCTCAGAGATTCAAGAGCTTGACCAGGGGTCTGGGGGTGAGGTAGACAACTACTCACTTGCCTGACTCAGAGACTGAACCTCCTCCCATAGCGGGGTCACTGTGCTGCCTTGACAATGTCTGGGCAGCCCTGGGCAAATAGGCAGGGCTATTGCCACACAATTGCTAAAACCACTGAAAGCCAGACAACCTCTGCTGTGATGAATGGCAACAATTATCTCCCTAAAAAGAAGCTCCCAATCTCATGCTAATTCTGCAATGAGCGGTTCCTTGTGATGGATGATGACTTTCAGACAGAAACTCAGGAACTGAAGAATAGTGAAGAAAGGGATAGTTATCTACGATATGGCTCCCAGCCATTTGCTCCAGCATCCTTCTAGTTGTGAATGTGTTACTGAAGCTTTCATGTACCTTCGAATAACTGGGCTCACTCTATCCTTGTTCTTGGACTTCAAAACAAAACAGAAACTTTTAAATGGGCATTTGTTTAAAATTATGTCAACAAAACAATTACATTACCACCCATGACTTAATTTTATTATAAAATACACTTCCAAGAAAGTAGTGAGTGGGAAGAATGTCATTTATTGCAAAGCTCTACCATGTTTGCTTTTGTAGATGGCTAGATTCTCATTTCTGCCTCTTTATTCAATCTGTTGCTTTATACTATTTTGGGCTCAAGACCAAGAAGAAAATTTAACCCTTGATCTATGTAAATTTTGAAGGGTTCTGGCACCTATACATGTGCCCTTTTGTAACATCAGGTACAGGTATTGGGAAAGTGATAAATTGAATACAACAACCTTAAAAATGTCAATACATCCTACCCTACAATATAATTTTTAAAAAATCAGACTTATTGGGGGTATGGTGCTGCCAGCATGTCAATTTGTACCTGTGAGGCGAGTGCATCAGCAGCCTGATGGCGCCTTCAGACTTCCAGATACCCCAAAATTGCTGATGTGCCTTTGGCCAGACCCCAAAATCTTGGGTCAAAGTTTACCAAGAAAGTAAATGGCCAAAAGTTAGGTATGTGGGGAACACACCCACAAACCACCTCCAGCTCAGCTATATAATTGGAGGCATGGCCGTTCTTGTTCCTGATTGAACTGCTTAATGGCCATGATCCCAGAGACTCAGAAACAAATCTCGAAACCCAGCGGCTTTTGGCAGAAATGCATCCGGTCCCTGCAGTAGGTTACCAGTGCTGGGCCAACCCAGGTGGGAATAGGTTTTGTGCCTTGGCCTGTTCCCCCTGGCAGCCCCGTGGCCGCCATCCTCCAGAGGCCACTGGACAGTCAGGTTTGGGCCCACAATGATGAGACATTTTGGGCCACACAGGATGGGGGTGGAGCCGGTCCTGTTCTCCCCTTCCCAACGAGACCCCAAGTCATCGCCCATGAACGGCCTCTCTGGCTCCTGATCAAGCTGCTTAACGGCCATGATCCCAGAGACTCAGGAGCAAATCTCGAAACCCAGTGGTTTTTGGCAGAAATCCCTCCAGATTTAAGTGATAAAATTTCGGAATTTCAAAATCACATGGACTTACTGCAGCCATGCGACATTATATGTTATTCATAACCAGCAATAGAACACAAATTGTCTACTGTTGCCTTTTCAGCAGATCTGAGTGTTGGGGTAAAATCTCAAATAATAATGGTGGGTCTGGTGTCAAAATATTGAATGTGATCAAAGTAGAGAAAGAGTAATGTGGAAATTATCTGCCCCCCAGGTGATTTCCTCCCCCCCAGGGGGAGGTTGTGGGATGGGGGTATACTGGGGTCTTTGGGGGTGGAGAATGGGCACTGGTGAAGGTACGGATATTTCATCATATGACTGAGACTTAGACCCGAAAGCTTTGTAACTGCTCTCATGGTGATTCAATAAATAAAATTATAAAAAATGAAAAAAAAGTAAGGTGGAGTTCATGCACAATTCAATCAGCTAATCAGTGGCTGAATAAATAGCAGTACTCCTACATTAAAAAAATCAGACTTATTAATGTTACCTATACTCTAATTATGCTCCTGCTGATGAGTATGTTTTTCAAAATCTTGATATTTTTTCTCTTGAAATCTCTCTTTTTCTTGCCCCCCTTTTTTTGTCATTGGTAACAAGAAATACTATTCATTTTCCTTAATGTGAGACATGCTCTGTTCATCTTTGAGGCAATGTCTGCCAAATATTGTAGCCTGAGTAATAGTAGTTTATCTGGCAGTCATTCTGTTGAGTAAAATGTGACTTCTTGACTTAAAACCAGAGTGATTGGTTTTTCTCAAGGCAGTCACATTCTTCAGTGTGACAGCAACTCTTCACACGCCCTTCTCATTTTGTCAGAGAGACTATTTAAATAACAGGTATTAAAAGGTTGAGTTTTAATAGAATTAGCTATGTTTACTATAGCAAAGAGGACTACCTTCAGTATAATTTTATTTCCTTCCTCTGTGTTCGGTGCCACTTGCTTGGTTTGTACCAAAGCCACAGCCATAGCTTCATCTGCCATTCCTTTTGCACCATTGGTACAAATATAAACCCAGTAGGAAGGGCAATTTAATGTGTGTAGTATTATTATGAAATTGGTTTTTGGATCAATGGATCCTTCTGCCTGCAAAGATCTTGGGCATTGCCTGAGGTCCTGCAAATTCTAATCTATAAATTTAAGCTAGCAGATAACACACACTCATCCACCCCTTCAGAGAAAACGCCAGCGTTCAGCTCACAGTCTACTCAATCCCTTTCATTTCCAGGGAAGACTCAGAGTCATCCAACACTCTGTTTTCTCCATTTTGATGACCTTTTATTCGTCCTATATTCCATGTCACGTGCTGGACCTTCTTATTCTCTGAATCAACTCCTCCTCCAAATTGCTAAAGCCTGAGCTACTGGTGAATCGTATTTGCAGAGACTCTATAGCCCCTTCTATTTTGTGAATTTTACTTGAATCTAGAAGTGCAAATTCCTACTGAAATTTTGTTAGGCCTCCCTGGGCCCTCCTTTGACACCGAAGCTTTCTCTCTAATAGTAAGACATCCTCCTATCTCGCTTAATTATTCTTGATAATCAGCTTTGGTTTCATGACCTAACATTTTAACTGTATCCTGCATTTCTCAGCTGCACTGTTTTCTTAATCATAACTTTCTGTGAAACCTAAATCTGGAGTGAATCGAACTACTGACCTCTTCACTTGGTTAACTACTTGGTTTCTTTTTCTCTCATCATAAATATCAGTGTCTTAGAAAAACATTTTCCAATCCCAAAACTGGTTAGATACTTCCTTCATGTGATTTGGTCAACTTCTCTACATTTTTCTCAACAGTTATGACACTTGTATAATCTGTATAATTATATCTTCAGGTTGTGGCTCTTTGAAAACAGGCAATATGTTGTTTTTATGCTTTCTACTGAAGTCTCAGCACCTATCATGGTGTCAGACTCATGGAAGTTTCTCAGTAAATATTTAGGAAGTGAAAGAAAAGAGAAAGCAGGGGAACGGAGGTGGTAAAGGAACAGAAAGAGAAAAGTAGGAAGCAAGAAGTAAATGGAAAGAATGAAAACAGTTTATGGGAACTAGAGTAACATTATTTAGAGATTTATTTGAACCAAATTTCCATACAAATGATCGATGCTTGGTCCATGTGCATTATTTTGTATATTTTCCTAATAATCAATGTTTGAATCATGCGAACATGGAAAATAATATGAGTTCTAATGATCAAACAGTAGGAGGGCAGATAAAGGGTGAAGGTTTGAGAATAGAAACTTAGAGAAGCATTAGTTCTACATTTTGCTAGAGAATTGTCAAGATAATGTCATTGTAAGCTCAGGGAGGCTACATTAGGATGTCAAATGGAAGAAAACACTATTAATGGTTGGAAGCAAAGGCTTAGACAGAACAGTGTTGTGTGACTATAGTTTTAAAAGCTTTGTGACATGATGTCTAGACAGAAGCGCACACAGTAATGCTATCACTGCAGCAAGAATACAGCAGGTTTACCACGACCATTTATTAAGGCATTACAAGGCTCCAACCTTTCAGCCAATATCAATAGGATCAGAATTTTCTCCTATCAATCTATGAATAATATTGTTTACTTTCATTTAAAAAGCAATAATTACCATTAAAAAGAACATAAAATATTAAACATTTCCCCTATATCCTACTACTATTAATA